GGGCCGGGGGGGCGGCGGGGCTGGGGGTCAGGCTAGGAGGGGGGCATGGGCAGGGTGGCAGGAGGCAGAGGAGGCTCAGCGGGTGCTGACGCTGGGCACCGGCCTCCCAGGTGGACTATCTCCCCGTCATGGAGCAGCAGTTCTCCCTGTTTGTGGACAGCAAGCTGGACTCACCCAAAAACCTATACCTGGGGCGCGTGATGGGTGAGCTGGGTCCTGCCCTTGGTCACCCCCTCCTGCTCTGGGCTCCCCGCAGGCACTGGGGTCTCCTCTGCCCAGTACGGTCCTTATCCTCCATGGAGGATAAGCTTTCTCCTCCTGTGTTCCCACAGAGACCGGCGTGATTGACCCCGAGATCCAGCGCTACAACACACCCGGCTTCTCAGGCTGCCTCTCAGGGGTGAAGTTCAACAGCCTTGTCCCCCTCAAAGCCATCTTCCGCCCCACCAGCGTTGTGCGGCCCTACAGCATCCGGGGAGAGCTGGTGGAGTCGAGCTGTGCCTCCATGCTTCCCCTCACCACCATCCTCATCCCCCCTGAGATGGACCCCTGGTACATGGGCACAGGTAGGTGCTGTGGTGGGACCCCAACGGTGGGGGAGCCTCCCGTGTTAGAGGAGATGCTCCAGCACAGAGACCCTGCTGCAGCCCGGGCTCAGCCACCCGCTCTGTCTCTGCAGAGTTTCCCCACGTGCACGACGACGGCTGGATCGGGATCATCATTGGGTGTAAGTGAAGCACCCTGCCTCTGCCCTGGCCCCCCAGGCCCTTCCCAGCCCCTCACCGCCATTTTAGGCCCATCCAGGACTAGGGCAGCGCCGCCAAACCGCTGTCAGTCCGCAAAGACCAGAACCTGCCCCAGATCCTGGAGGAGGCAAAAGGGGACTAGCAGGGCTGGGGGGGTGGGACGGGCTCGCAGCCTCCCCAGCCCTGGGAGCCGCCCCGGGGACAAGCGAGCATCGCGGGACCAAAGGGCCGACCACACCTGAACTGCCAACACCCGCCTCCGGACCAGACCGGACCGCGCTGACCGCCAGCTCCTCCCCACGGCCACCACCAACCCGGCCCCCAGAGCACAACCGCGACCCGCCCAGCCCCGGTGCCGCTCGCCC